GSTWCMATTRTAGTTTGCCATCATCAGTGTGTGAATGTSTGTAGTGTGAAGTGCTTTGAGTGTCCTGGATGGATAGGAAGGCACTATATAAKTRCAGTCCATTTACCATTACAATTACCATTTAAATCCTTAATTTGTTGCATCTTAACAAGAATTTCTTTGACAGATTTTTTTCCCTTCCTTTCTGATTTTGAAAAAGTTTCAAGCGAAACAAATATTTTGTTCGGTTTGCAAATTGTTGCAATTTGGACCTAATTTAAGTGAAACTTCTTCAGCCAGAAAAGCAAACTTCAGTTTGTTAACTGGCTGACGTCCTGTTAAACTGGGAACAAACGGTCAGACATGGTCGAGGTGAGCCTGCATGTCATTGTTGGCCCATGGAAAGAAATAAAAAGCTGCTTCGGATCAAAGGGCAGAAAAATTAGTGACAAAAGACTAAAACATCCCTGAGTGTTTATTGTGTCTGAAACTGTCAACTCACAAAAGTTTTACAAATAGAATAAAACTTTAAAATGTCAAACAATACATCTTAGTAAAGTTAAGAGGCAACACTTCTTTTCYTTTTACTTAAATATCCTGTAAAGAAAACTCATTCAAACCAGTAAAAAAATACCACTGAGGTAAAACATCGACCCTCACTAACAAATAAACCAAAGTCGACCAGATATCCTGACAGATACACTTTTTGTCCACAGCTCAGCATATCTTTATCCACAGTAATACTGAGTTTGTTCTCTATTTCAGTGTTTCTGGAGGAAGTGGTGCTCAATCATGTTGGAACAGAAAAGAGAGTCTTCCACTAAACTGGAAGCATAATGTTAAAAGCACCTGGAGATCATGGGCCAAACCCAAACCACTGACCCTCCTCCACATTTCACAGCTGGTGGTCAGCCATCCACCAAACCCAGAGTCACCCAACTGAGTCATTGATCAACAGAACGAACGCGTTTCAACTGCTGCACATCAGTCCACTCCAGAGCTGCGTTCACACTGCAGGTCTTACTGCTCAATTCTGATTTTTTGAAAAAATCCTATCTTTTGGTGTGAACATTACATTTTAAATGTGACCTGCATCAGACTCCAGTGTGAACGCTACACAGCACTGACGTGACACACATGCGCAGTAAAGAAGTGCTGTCTCATCAGCCGGCTTGTTTGTTTACAGAGCTAGCATGGATGCTACATTTTGCACATCGAATCTGTTGTTGTTTAATCAGAGCAGATT